ATGTCTCATTCCATGGCTTCCCAGCTGCACCTCGTGAAGAAGACAAGAGGAAGGTATCGCTGACAACAGCACAGAAACCAACTCCCCTCCTCCCTCCTCCCTGCCTTCCCCACCGCCTGCCCCTCGCCGCCCACATTCCAGAGCACCGGTACAGCCTCCCGCTCTCCTGCCCCGGCGCTGGGAGCCCCTCGTGTCTGCAGGGATAACAGCAACACCAGAAGCTGCTGTGGCCCCATCTTACCTCTGCTGCCCACCTGCTGCAGAGACCTCCGGAAGCGTCAGCACAGCAGTTTAACCACTGCTTTGTGAAAAGAATCTCTGTCCAACTAGTTAGAGCTCCCGTCATTCAAATGTGGGGTTACAGAAATGTGGAAGTTGGGCAACTTCAGTTTTTTTTTTGTTTTATTAAAAAACCAAGAAACTCAAACACACCTGCATCCTCAGGAACTGTTGCTCTAACAAAATAATAAGTCTGTTACAGCTGAACTTAGCTGACTTTTAAGTAAGACTCTTACCCCTGAAGAACACATTTTTTTGCTGAACTCTTGTACTGAGAAGTGTAGAAAATTGTGCTATTTCACTAACTCCACTAAAAATAAGTATTTCCCTGCTGCAGTAGCAACCCATGTAAAAGAGGCCTGTCAGCACACCCTGGTTTGCTTGCTGAAGTTTATTTACTAAATAAATCACTTCCCACCAAGGAAAGGATGAGGCTGCACAGATGCGTGTGCTTTCCTCAGCTGCAACATTTGAGATGTAACAAAATCCTTCAGGGGAAAGTTTCCTATAAAAACAAAATGAAAAGGCTTATACTGTGTATTATCATACTACACATAACACTATTTTCCTTGTCACACAAAAAAAGAAAAATACCCACAGCATTTTATTTCCTCTATGAAAATGCAGCAAACCCCCCCCCTCTAGAACAAACCCGACTGTTTCACCATTTCAAACTTGATACTGGAACCCTCAGCTGAAGCCAAGTTTTCCGGCAGCTTTTGATACATTTCCTGCAGCTACATCCTCTTTTCCACAGAACAGGAAGATGCTTTCATCACTATGTGAAGCTTTGTTATGAAAGAGGGTTTTTTAGTTAACTTGTAAGGCGAGGACAGTCACTGCCAGCACCTGCCCATACAGGGTGAGGTGAACGGGAGCAGAGTGTGAGTTCAGTTACAGTCAGTATCTACAGGTTGTTACCAGATTGAATCCTAAACCAAAACCTGATCCCTCTGTCAAGCACCAGAGTTTTTCACTGTGAAGTTCTGCACTTCTGAAGTGCTCCTGACCAAAGAAGGAACAAACAGACTAGTGGTGTGTACTGTGGCTGCAAGCGACCTGCCACCAAAGCCAACTGTAGGGGTTTCTGTGAGGGATGGAGGTACTTCAAAGACAAAAGGGGAAAGACAGGAGAGGATCAGTTGTTGGTTTGTTTAATGACATTTCAGGACCACACAGTTTCCAGCAGTAAGGAGGGGGGTGGTCAGGCTGTTGCCTGCGCGCTCCGCGACAGCGCCTTCAGGTCCATGATGCACTTTGCGATGCTGTCCTTCTGCTGCAAGGAGGAGAAAAGGCTTAGGGAAGACGTTTCAACAAGTACAACGTGCATCCTAGCACATCTCAGACACTCCATTTCAGACCCCTAAGAGTCACGGATTAAAAAGGACACAACTATAGCTCATGAAGTCAGAGCTCCAGCTCCGAAGGACGCCCCGCAGCCGAGCCCCGCGCCCAGCGCTGCCAGAACGCGCTGTCTTCCCCTCAGCTTCACTCCTTGAAGGGACAGACACCCAGAGCCCGTCTGCAGACCTACAGCTGCCACATGCTCACACAGAGAACTTCCCAGGTGAGTCCCCTGACCCAAGCAACACACCTCATGACCCCCAGGCTTGGCTCTACACTGCAACAGCAAGCGGCACTCAACTCTGGCTGAATGGCCAGCAGCACCAGCACAGAGGACAGGGACTGGGCTCCTAAGCTCGTCCCCAGCAGCAGGGATGTGCTGCAGCCACATTCAGAAGTCACCCAAAGCTGACCCACCAGCTTCTGGCTTGAGCTAGGATCACTGCATGGCATACATTTGTACAGACTAAAGTGCAAGGCAGATTGTTAAGAAGCCAGGTACCTGCTGAGGTGTGATGCTCTGAATGACGTTTTTCTCCACCCACTGAATCATGTGATCTTGTTCTTTCTGACGCCTCAAATTCTGCATGGCCACTTGGTAGTCCAGCCTCTTCTTCACCTCGGTGTACACCATCATTAACCTTTCCCGATAATTAGCCTCCAGCAACATTGCAACATTGTTCTAGACACAGAAGATGAAAGCAAAGGGTTAACGTTTGGCCAGAACACAAACCAGGTTTCACAGCAGAGGTCACTGATCAGGTGGTGGGGCTGGGCCGGTGGTTTGTGTCCTGCTGGCAGCTCAGGGGTGCCCAGGGCTGATGGTTTGTGTCCTGCTGGCAGCTCAGGGGTGCCCAGGGCTGGTGGTTTGTGTCCTGCTGGCAGCTCAGGGGTGCCCAGGGCTGGCTGCCAGGGGAGCTGCAGGGCTGGGGCCACGCACCCGCTTGGCGTCGAAGAGGTAACTGCGCCCCTCCACCCGCCACTGCTCCTTCTTCTCCTGCTCAATGGCAGTCTCCAGATCCTTGATAGCTGTGTTCTTCACAGCCAGAGCATTGGCCATCTTCTCCTGAAAGAAACAAGTGACGTGCTTCAGGATGACAGCAGGACGTGAGGAAAACAAGGTCTGGAATTAATGTCAGCTTAACTCTGAGGTGCTGCAGCAAGAGCTGAGAAGTGTCTGCAGGAACTGGGCTGTGCCAGGGCTGACAGGCAGCAAGGCAGGACTGGGGCTCACCACCAAGTGTGCTTGGAAAAAATCATCTGTGCTGCTACAAGGAAGGGGTTTTATTTCTGAAGGCCTGGGTAACAATACCAACATAAGAGCTAAAATGCAGCTTCTTTAAGCCACGTTCTGAAGGGATTAGGCTCAGAGTTTTATGCCAGCCCAGACACAGTATTCTTTTAAACACCTACACAGATGAAATAGTTACTAACTACTACAAAGTTAGTCTGGTTTCTTTAGTTACCTCATTCAGCTTGTCAGCAAAAGCTGCGACGTTAGCCCCGAATTTCTTGACACCATAGATGATGACTGAGAGAATACAGAGAGCAGCAACTGTCTCGTGGTTGATCACGTAGATCTCCTTGGAGAGCAGGTAGAGCAGCAGCCCCGTGCCCAGCATGTAAGGCCCTGAGGAAACAAGGCAGAGCAGCTGTAGGACAGGGAGCCCCACTGGAGTCCAGTGCTTCAGCGAGGGGCAGCTGCTGTCAGGCCTGCAAGGGGGTCAGGCAGCATTTGTTCTCTTGCACCATGGCAAAAGGCAAAAAGCTGGGGCCAGGAGGGGATGGGGGGTCACGAGGACACCCACCAGAGGCAGAAGTGACTTGCATGGACCTGCTGCTTCTGCTTATTCAGACAAAAATCTCTGTTTAAAGTTTTTTTAGGGTCAGCAGGCAAATAAATCTTCCTGCAAGATCAGGCTGCTGACATGCTTTTAGTCCTTATTTAAAGCACAGGTGCCTAGTTTTAGTGACAGGAAGCACTGCACTGGCTCATTCTTCACAATCTCCTTCTACACGTGGCAAAAAATAATCTCCCCTAATATTTCACCTTTTCAGCAGCCAGAAGCAGTGGACAGAACTAAATTAGCATAACTAAATGCGCATCTCCTTAATAAACAGAAGCATATACTAACCTGTAACTCCTGTTTTAGGATAGAGAAACTGGAAAAACTCCTCAGGGATCAACCCATGACGTACTTCTCCTCCTTTCTCAGGTAGAGGTGGCAAAGGAGCCAAACGCTGTTGAGTTGTGTGCAGTGATCTTGTGGTGTGTAATATACTATAAATAACGGAAGAGCTTCCATTCAGCTTATTTCCCAAACCTCACAAACCACCCTGCAGCGAGGCTCAAACACATCTCCAATGAAACAGGCAAGCATTCATTAGACACGCCTCCTTCGAGGAGGGGGGTGGGACTAGATAACCTCCAGAGGTTCCTTCTGACCGTCATTATTTTATCAGCCGTGATCAGAATGCAATTAATTAGAGAAATAAAGACACACACCCCGCTCCCCGCTCAGAATATCGCTATTTCTAGACACCGACTGCCCGCTCCTGCG